ACCTTCAGGATTCGCTCTGTTTCATTTGTACATTTTGTCACTTTAGCAGTTCACATCTGCACAAATTTTCTCTCAAACTATTTTTGATAGAATTTCTGTCCAAATCCGTTTTACAAGTTGATTCACACCCATATTTTGCATTATACTGCCTTTTCAATCTACTAAATGTACAGTTCCTCCAGAAAAGAAAATTAACCAAAAACCTCTCCATTCTTCATCTTTAATCTGCTTATATAACAAAACTGCCCTTCATTCCCATCCATGTCCTACCCCTTACACCTTATTCTTCAGCTCTGTTTTTCATGTTTTTTCTGTCGTTCACCTGTCCTAACCCCCTGCTGAGATATTTTGCCCCGTTTTGTATGTAAAGGTTTGGCCCCTTGATATCACTGCTGTAGAAGTGGGCACTCCCAGTTATTTAAACCCTGAGGTTATCTAGGGTCCTATCAAGGTACTAAGGATACCATGGTCAAGCTGTTGACCCCTTATCAGCCTCCCCCTGGGAGTGTTAAGTGATCCTTAGGTACTGAGTGGGCCCCATAGGGTCTGACATTGGCCTTCTTTCGTCTAGCTGAAGGAGTTTTGGTTCCAGACCTTAATGGCCTGTCAGGTGTATTTCTGGAAAATTGATTGATCATGTTTAATTAAAAAAAGAGTCTGTTATCATTGATTTAACCACTGGTCAGTCTTGATTGGTGTTTCCAGAAAATCTAAGAGGATGATTGAGAGAACCATACAGACCCAATCACATTCAAACCAATTAATGAGGGTGAATTTATAGGAGATAAGGGGAGGTAATTACAGGAGATAAGGGGAGGTAATTTACAGGAGATAAGTGGAAGTAATTAAAGATTTGACATGCACAGAAGATATAGTTAAATTGATTTTGATTTCATCAATGATCAGTTTTTCCAATCTTTCTTCATTCTTGAACTGTAATGACCTGGATATGGTTAACGGGTGTAATTTTTCCAAAATTGTCCCTTAATTTCATGAATTTGGTTTTCAGTGGAAATTGATATCAAATTTCATAAATTCTTCACAAAACGTAACACTGCTGATAAATAAGATATATTTTGTTGGTCAGTTTGCTGATAGAGTTGATCAGTCAGAATGTGATTGTCAGATTATAGATGTTGCAGCCAACACCAGGTATTTCCATTTTTCTACCAGTACAAGGGTTGACCATTGGTCAGTTTATCATCATATTTCCATATTTCTACCATTACAAGGGTTGACAATTGGTCAGTTTATCATCATATTTCTACCATTACAAGGGTTGACCATTGGTCAGTTTATCATCATATTTCCATATTTCTTCAATTAGCGTGACTTTACTGATAGAGTTGGTTAATCAATATCAGATTTAATAATCAACAGATAAGGATGATAATGCTGTTATTTACTTATATCCTCAACTCCCCTGCTACTCCCAGCAATGTGTGACAACACACTTTGATATCTATGTTGAATTGATCTGTAACGCTACAATAGATCATCTTTATCTTACACTTAATGCTTGACTGCTTGTGTCTTAAATCTATAAATATACCTGTGTCTTATCAGCCTTGAAATAAATATCAACATTTTCTATGATAATTCATTATTTGAGACCGCTTTGTATTCATAGTCCAATTTTTGTTCTGAAAAAAACTTTTACTTCTGTGTAATATTCAATATGTTTCAATTTTACTTTAAAAGACAAACTTAATACTGGCAAAACTATTGCAGTGATTTTTTAATGTTTAATTTCATATTTTCAACAAAGTATTGATCAATGTCTATGTAATGATTTGAATTGTATTTATATGGTCATTGAAACAGCCTGTCAATACACATTCATGCTGGGTTGATTTATCCTGGTCAGTTGACATCCTGCTGACAAGATGACCACTTTGACCTCTGGTTATCATTAATATATTACTCTGGTCAGTGCCTTAGTTCAAGTAGATGAAAGGATGGGTCAAGGAGATTTTGTCTTCCCTGCCCTTTTTGGATTGTTATTACCTGATAATGACTTGATTTCCTGCCCTGATTAATTCATCATTATAGGCAGCTAGATGATCCTATCATTTGCTTGGATGACTTGTTACTATGTGTTAATTGATGGTGAGTGCTTTCTGTTTTCTTTTGGCCATTGGTCAAAAATCCCCTCCTTCACCCAAAGTCATTTTAGTATAATTTCAACAGAAGAGTTTGCCATGATATAGGTTATCTCCCTTTAATTACCTGATTACCTCCCTTTGATGATATATTTGATTTTGGTTTTGTATTTGAGTACTGTATGTATCCAAGAAAAATATTTACCATGCAAGCTTATTTTGGAGATGTTCAAAAGAGATTTTATATCTCGGTCATCACTTAGATTCACATATTTGTGATGTAAGAGGTACATTTTTACAAGGTTCTGAATTTTACAATTTTTCTCAGTAATTAATACTTAAAAATCACAGATTGATTTGATTAGAAGTATACATAATTAATGACATAAAAACTGGAATTACTGGATCAATTTTTGTCAAATTGTTTTCACAGTGATGTTTAGAAATATCTTAACATCGATACATCATGTGTATCATGTTATAGATATTTTTAGAACTGTTTGAAAGTTTTTGACCAATTTATTTCTGTGGAGGCCATATGGAATAGATCTATCTTTTGTACCATCTGGTAGAGCTGGAGAGTTTGTACCCACCAAACCCACAAGGTAAACAGACGGAGATGTTCATCTAGGTCTTTAGAATGCTTGAAGCCTATGTAGCTTGATTATGTACACTGAAAAAACCTATTCACATATGTTAGATTTTAATTTCATTAGAAAATAAGACTGAAATCTGTCTTTGTCTTTCATTGATTAAAGGGAATCCTATTTCACTGGTGATTTGTTGAATTCTATAAATATCTTTAATCATTAGACAGTGTGGTTTAATTTGCAAATGGAAGCAAGCAGAGAAAAACATGGGTGTACCATAGTGCTACATCTTTAAGACTAGTCTCTTTGAAAGTCAATATTTTTTTTGGGTGTTTTTTTGTTTTAAGCTATGATAACGACGCTGTGGTTGTTTACATGTTACAATATTGTGAAAATCCCTTGTAGAGTTTCTTTTTATGCACATGAAACCTGAAGAAGTCTGAATGTTAAACAAAATATTTAAGAATCAGGATCAGGCCACTTGACAGTTAAGCTAAGTATGCTTGCTAGTAGGTTCAGAGATCTGTGTATTTTTGGGTAAATGCTAAGTTGGTGTAAAGGGTCATAAAAACCTCAAAATCTGTTACAACTTCACAGCGTTTGCTGCAGCACTAGGGCTATAACAACAGTCGAAGCTTCTCATTGATACGGAATAAAAACATTCAAATATTTAAACTTTCTTCTTTACACATAGGAATTTATTTAACTCTTTTGATTTATAGACATTGTTTTTGTGAGAGTGAGGTTTCAGTGAGAAGTTATACAGAGCAGGATATATAGAAGGTTGTTGTGGGGATCATTACACAAAAACTTGTACCTTTTAATACACAAAAAGTTCTCAAACTTTTCTCTTTGTAAACAAACATTTATATGAACAAGGATATAGGAAAGGAAACAAGTGGGTAGATGTCTATTCTATCAAACAAAAGAAATCCAAGAAGAATCCAAACATTTCTGTGATGTGCCTGCTCAGTGTGGGTTACTATGGGAGCAGATCTCCAGGGCCCTAGGGCTAAAACTGGGTCGCCATGGTTGTAAAAGTTGGTCCAAACGAGCTTTTTACGACCTCTTGGTGAACATATTTTGCTAGAGAGCTGTTTCTGTTGCAGTAGTGTGCCCTTGCTTAATGGATAGTTTTGCTAGTTTTATTTAGTTTCCTTAATATCATTGCACATCCAGTTACTATTGAGGTGTTGTTTAATAGCTCGCCTGACAAAATCTGCACCATGTAATCTTTCCTCTAGACATTGAGCTGATCTTTCAGGCTTGTTAGCTTCATACAATCTGTGGTAACTCAAATTATAAATAATTTCAATAAAAGACACAAGCATTTTCTACTTAAGTAAAAATTAGGTACTGCTTAATTATTTATTTTAGTAAGTTTTATATTTGTTGTATCCCTGATCAGTCTTAATCCACAAATTTGTAATTCCACAGAATTATAAACAGATCAAAACTGATATCAGTTCTAGTGGACTATGTAAGGAAGTTTTATCCAGAAAATCGGGTTCTGATGGAATTATATACATTCGTTAACCAGGAAATGTGAGCCCAACAAAATAATTTTGATTTCATGTGTTGATGAAAGTGTACATTATTGTAAAACCACAAAATTTGAACCCAACAAAAATATACTGTATGATAGTCAGGTAATGAATTAAACGGCATCATACCTTTGTAATTGTCTAAAAATTAGAAGATTCGATTAACGATAATCATGATTGACAGGAAAATCATGATTGACAGAAATAGGTATCAAAACATGGATTGGGAGGTACACCTACCTCATAATTCAATACATTATATCCTATCGCACTTACAATGTATCTGTAGGATTTTTTTAGGGTTTTTTTAGATAAAGATCCGTTATAAATATGAATAATATTTGGTCTTGTTTACAGGTAAATCTCGTTAGAAGTTGTTCTGTAATTATATAAACTTTAACAGTCTAATCTTTTATCTTTCTGATAACTAGTTATTAAGACTTATTTCCCTTGGATTTTAGTTATTTAGAGTTATCTCCCTGAAAATAGTATGTATAATGTATTAAAGATGGTTTATGACATTGTCAGTTGAATGGCAGTGCCGTATTTATTCAAAGTCTACCTAGTATAATGGTGACTTTGATCCCTTCCTTTCTGGATGGCAAAAGGAGGAAAATTATTGTACATTGAATGTTGTGAGACATAACAAGAACACAAAGTTTTTTGAGCTTTTGTCTGTATGACAACTATTTGTTGTCTTTTATTGGTTCAGTTACCAGGAATCATGTGACTTAAACTAACCAATTACTGTGTATTTGTTTCAGACTGCCAGTAGAATCGTGAGGCGCGGGTTCAATGTGGGAAACCCTGGTTGCCGGGGTCCGTGCTCTTCATGAACAAACATGAACACGTGGAGCACGAACAACATGAGGATAGGATGTCTCTATCTCTTGGCTGTGCTTACCTTTTCTGTAGCAGGTAGGTCATGTGACTGTTTCAGCCAATCAGAGGGTAATCATTGTGGAAACTATTCCGTTGAAATCTACGTCCAAACAAAAAGAAAATACCAACATACCTGTAGACTACACATACCTATGGATCAATTCTATTGTATGTTTCATTAATAAAATATATTGAAAATGAAATCTTAATTCAGATATTATATCAAATTCAATTTAAAAATAAGCAAAATATAAATAAATGACAATTACATGGAGACACGTAAGATTAATTACAAGGAAAGTAAGACCAAGTGTTGTTGAAGGGTAAAGATCTTTCACTTCATCAAAAACAATAAGCCATGTACTGACAGCTAATTCACGAATATTTCAAGAGATAAAATGATTATAGAACTGGAGATTTTACAAATCTATTGTAACTGAACTTCAACATTCTAGCTTTTATCTAAACGATATAAAATCTGGCTTTCCCAGCAAATTTTACTTATCCTTTTGGATGTGAAAAACAGATTCCACAACTTTATACAACTAAAATTCTAATTAGTAGAATTAGGATAAAATAGTTTTGATTTCTCCCAATCAGTATGTCCAAGAGTAGTCTCCCCTTTTTATGCTGACCCCTTTCCACCAATTTTTCAGTGTCTAAGTGGGGTAATTGCCTCAAATTCAAGACATTTTAGCAAGTGTTCACAGAAATATATGTGAGAGTTTATCAGCCAACCTAGTAAATTTCAACAATTTATTTGTAAAATCATATGAAGTTTAAGGAATTTCCTAATAATTTATGGTAAATTGCCTGTCTGTGTTCAGAAAAGAAAAAACATAAGGTTAACTAAATTCCTGTTTGAAATCCGATCAGTAAACACTTCCATCTATGTACACATTTTTACCAACACAAATTTGTGTTTATGGAGAAAAAAAAGAAAGAAAAAAGACACTGACTCCGGAAAAATATATTGCCCATCAAATTGGATAAAACCTATCATTAGTTACGCTCAAGCTAGTTGTAGGGGGAGGACTGGTGTGTATACAACAGGAAGTAGGCCATTGTTAGGGAGCCTTTAATTAGAATTTAAACAAAGCTTATCAACCATGTGTGACTCACAGCTTTGGAGGGACCTTGTTGAGTTCATTTAAATCATAGATTTCTTCAGCTTTGACTGTCAAGTTTAGTAGATTTACTAATTTATTTGTGGATGTTTGCAGCTGGTTTTAAGATAAGGACTGCTCCCCATGATAAGAAGAATCAGTGTTGGTATGGTGGACGGTTAATCATTGTCAGGTGGTGAGGGGGGCCATTCATTATTTTACATGATGTACATATATTTAATTTTGCGATGTTTTTCATGATCTGTTGAAGAAAACACAGAACTAGGTTAATTAATACATAACTTTAAATGTATGATTTATTTTTAGTTATCAAAGGTAAAATAGTCCCTACACATCACACCTAACCGAGATTTATAGGTTTTCATCCTAAAATGCATTATCCACAAAGCAGGATGATGAGACCATGAGCAAGGAAAATAAATTGAAATAAGAAAAGAAATTGAAAATCATATTTGTATCAAACAAATAAACAAATATCACCTTTTATAATAAGTTATAGAAAATCTTTGAAAATCAAGTTTGATACTAAAATTAACCTGGCATCAAGTAGATACATATATAACCTGATAAATTTCTACAATTTCTCAGAATCGCTACACGGAAGGTTTGTGCCTTTGTTTGTAAATCCACAAAGATACTTCAATCTGTCCAGTGCGATTTAACGTTTTGGTGTTTCAATTTCAACATGAAATTTTTTATTTTCTAATTTGATTTTAATTTTAGAATTTAAATGGTAATGAAACATAAATACTTGAAATTAAATAAGTATTTATAAAATTAGTACTAATTTTCATGTTAATGACTTTAGCCACTATACAACTGATGTCATGTTGACTAAGTAAGATGATTTGATGACACAGGGACATCGTACAAGATTTACTTGCCAAAACCTACAGTTCCACTTCGAAATCATCATGAAAACTTAAGGAGATATATGGTAATAGTATTAAGATTGTAATGAAATATATGTGTATATTACAAGCAGTAAGAAAGGGTCTAGGCTAAATTCCTTCATGTATTGGTAAAATTATGGTATTTGTTGCTGATGACTACAAAACTGTTGGACATCGATCTTTTGAATGTTTGGTTAGTGGGTTTGTCACCCTGTCAAGGTCATTTTGAATTTTGAGTCTCCTCTAGCTGGTGGCTAACCTAACTGAACAACATATGAGAGGCCCATTGTTTGCCATTCAAAGCATTGAGGATAAAGTGTATTGTGGCACAACCATAGCATTTGTAAACTGTGGAACTTTGTGTAAACTTCAGAAAATCATTTTAAGAATTAGATTAAAGTTTCATCATTTGTTTTGATCTTTATTACTTTTATCAAATGATATTTTCACTATAGCATAAACTGAAATTAAATGGACTAGTTTTCATCTGTGTTCTTGATACCAGATATTCATAATGTGTGGAAGGCCTTCATTTCAAGTTTGAATCTCTGATGGTTTTCAGATCTCATCTTTAAGAATTACATATATTTAAGTAATATATCACCGCAATCTAGATCCTTATCCCAGAAGATGGAAATTTGGTCTGAAATAAGCCATGCACTCAATTTTATGTCCTTTGCGGTGTGCATAAGCTATATGCTGTAATGTCTCAGAGGTTGGAATATTGTACACATGTTCCCCAGAGAAGACTTTTATCAGCATTTCAATGTTTTTGACATGTTGTGAAAAAAACTCAGAATTTTGTGGCACATATTGGGAACCTGAGGTATTTTAAGCATTTTTTTGTCTAAAGTTGATACATATACTCACTGTCCTGCTTGAAATTTTTACATTTAGACCAAAAATCAATCCATACTTTTCTGATCATGTTATATATCATTGTTTTATTCTGTTTCTTCATCATTTTAGGGATATGTGTTTTTATTTACTATAGTTGGATGGCAATTTTTTATTTGTTTCATTTTGCATCGTAGCATTTTCCATTCAAAATTCATTTTGATCCAACTCGCATCGATTGGAAGATTACTAGGAATGTGCTCATATTCTGAGTCTCCAACCTCAAAATGAAGGTCATTATTACTATTTATAGAAACATTCCAACTAATTTGCATAGGATCAGTGTGAGAAATGGATGTCATAAAACAAACTCTGTTTCAATTGATTTTTTTCTTTTTCTAATATTTCCTTTCTGGTGTCCTTTCAGAAAAATTAACATACATTTTATCAGTTATAAAAATTTTAGTTCAAAATAAAAAAAAGGGAAAATTTATTTTTTGAAAACATCGCTTTAATGCATTTCAGTTATGACTTTCTCCCCTATCAGTGTGATACATGGACTCATCTCCACACACCTGATAATAGTAACACGAAAATGAAATCCTCCTCCCCCTCCCCTGAAAGATAATATAGTAAAGTGTGATTATACCCGTGTTGTCACAACCTGGCTGTATTCAAACAACGGAAAATGAAGCCGTGTCACTCCATTATTATAACATAATGAATCTTCTCTCCTTGATTTCAAGTCTTGCATCTGATTTCTTTTTTATCTTCCATGGGGAGAAATGATTTATATGTTTGTGTGAGAGGTGTGCCAGTGTTACTATAGAAGTAGCTGAGTTCTTCCAAAAATTATCAAACTTTACATAGTGTTTGAAATAAAAAAAATTCAAATTTTATTGAGATTTATCAGAATTGCTGACCTATTCAGTGTTTGTTCTGATTGTTTTGAGTCCTGACAAGGCTAGCTTTTATGTACATATTAAGATTTTGCAGTATTTAAGAATTAAGATGAGAAGAGATTTGAAATATTCAGGTGGGGTTGACAAGGCTTGATACTACGGTCCCAAAGCTATTTATTTACTTCTCTATCTGATGGTTTCTCATTACATTCACTTAATAAAATACTACCATCTTGCCACAACAGGGTTTTTCATGGGTTTTTGAAACATGCTGGAAAATATGGACTGGATTTAGGGAGAGTTTATTGCAACTTAAAATGTAAAAACTAAGAAATAATGTGGATTTTCTTTAAAAAATATTCATATGGATTTAAAAGATTTTTGGAAAATCATTTTTCATTCGCTTAACTCTCTATCTCTCCAAACACAATTTTCTCTGCTACAGTTTGCTCATTGTTTGCAGTGATAGTCCCGGCTTCCTAACATGCCTCGGTAGATACACATATTGTACAGGACGTATGGGGGTCTAGAAGGCAAGATCAGATTCAAGATAAAAACAATATTTATGTACTTTTTATTCTAAGTTGGTGTGGCTAAACTTGAAAACCAGCAATTTTTTGTGATATGCATGTTTGAGTTCTGACTATTACAATCTTGAACTCCAAATTTTCTTCAAAAAATCCTGGAGATATTTTTTTTTTCTTTTTTTAACAGATTCAGTTTGAAAAAATGATAAATTTTTTCAATGTTAGCACATCGTATCTCTGTAAAATATGATTTTGTGGATATCAAATTTTATTACTTTGATAATGCTGTATATGATAGGAAACATACGCATCTAATAAAAAAAGATAAAAAAACAGTAAAAATAAGTCAATTCAAAATCAAATAGAAATTACAGAAAAACAGTTTTCAGTCTGATATTATATCTTTACATTGCTTGTTTTAATAACCAGTCATAAGATGGATGCTTGTTTTAATAACCAGTCATAAGATGGATGCTTGATTCAAATTTTTTTCTAGATTTGATTTCATCATTTGGCAAAATATCTTGTAATCCAGTATTTTGTTGTCAATGGAAGCAAAACTTTCAATTATATTTCAACATCAATTTATGGTCATTAATGTTTTTAATCCAGGCACCAGTGTTTAAATATTCAACAAATGATTTTATTATTTTCACTTTTCTCTAAATGCTCGCACAAGCCAGATATTAAGAAAATAGACATGTTATTTGTCACAATAAATCATCTGTTGTAATTTCCTGAAACCATATT